TTTAACAACTTCTATCACAATCTACTAAAAAATCTAATTTTTATCCCCACCAAATACCCTCTAAAATTTTAATTCCCTCTTATCGACATTTGCTTTATATGAGCTTTACAACACTCTATCCTCAATAATGGAAACTTGGTTCATTGGAAAAGTAAAAAATGCATAGCTTTTGTTTGGAACAATACGTGTTCACATTTCAAGATAGGGGTAAACTTGGAAGTTGACGCCCCCGGGGCATAACCCAGTGGTGCAAAGGACAGGAGTGAGGTAATCTCAATTTTGTTGGCAGCCGCAAAGGGGTCGATTCCTAAGATGTGGAATTGGATTCTTTGTAAGCACCAGTGTACGGACAAGTTCTTGTTCCCTGATCTGTTGGGGCACATCCCGCAATTTACCTCCCTCACGATACTCCAAGAGCGAGGCAGTGAAGCCCCTCAAGGTTGAGGTTCCACCTTTTTTTAAACTTGGAAGTTGACCATATATATGCATAACACCATTTAGACTAGCTTTCACATGGTGGGCCACATGATGTGATAGAAGAATGCATTTTTTCCACAATAATGGCGCCCAAACGTTAGCTTTCACATGGTGGACCATGTGATGTGATAGAAGAATCCATTTTTTTCTACAATAATGGACGTTTGGGCGCCATTATTGACGTGTGGGCGTCATTATTGTGGAAAAAATGCATTCTTCTATCACATCACGTGGCCCACCATGTGAAAGCTAACGTTTGGACGCCTTTATTGTGGAAAAAATGCATTCTTCTATCACATCATGTGGCCCACCATGTGAAAGCTAGTCCAAATGGTGTTATGCATATATATGTCCAACTTCCAATTTTACCCCTATCTTGAAATGTGAACGCGAATTGCTCCAAACAAAAGCCATGCATTGTTTTTTCACTTTTCCAGGTTCACTTTGACTAATCGTTGTCAATTGGGTATCAGAAATAAGAAATAAAGAAACAGAGCTGCCAGCCTAGGGTATAGATCCCTCACGATAAAGGTTTTGTACTGTGCAACGTTTAAAAATTGTCCATAAATAAGATGAAAATGAGCTCTAAACATCAATTTTTATCAAAATTAAACTAAAAATTTAATTTTAACCCTCGACAAGGATGAGTTTATTATCAAATTGAATGAAATGGTGGAGAGAGAGAGCTCTGCTAAAGAATGAAAGGTTGGTTTTACGAAATAAAATTATAAAAAATTAATGTCTCAAATAACAAACTTTCACGTAGAGCAATTACTAATAGTAAGCAACTATGAATAATCTTATTTACTTTTAAATGACAGTGAGGAAATGACTTTTTTTTTTTAGAATATAAAAAGCTCTTTATGGGCAAAGACAGCAAATGTCTTGTTACGTCCCATCGAATAGAAAATCGATATAGGGACTGAGAACATTTTACTCACTTCATACTTGTTCAGACTCTTAGTTTTATATGTATATTTATGTTTTTAAACTTAAATCATATTTGAAATTTGATATTAGAAAATTGAGTAAATAGAGTAGCAAATTCCCTATTCCTAATTTCCTATCCTCTACCCAAGAATATCCAACGCGACAAAAGACAAGGAAAATCACCTGTCGTATTGCCATTCCTTTTATGAGTTGGAGAATTTAGTCTTATGAAAAATAATTATTGTTTATTTACATTTTTTTAATAGTAAAGACCATATTCAACTTGACTATTTGTCTAATTAATTAAAAAAATTAGGCAAATGCTTGTTTGAAAAAGATTAAAAAGATGGGATCAAAAGTAACAATTAACATTAGGGTAATTATATTGCCACCACAAATTTTACTTGCTACACACATTATAACACCACCACAATAATAACATGTTTCCAATAAAAATGCCATAACAAATTTACAATTATAGTCTTAACCCCAAAAAGAACTAAAAATGAAAATAATAATGATGATGATGATGATGATGATAATAATAATAATAATAATAATAATAATAATAATAATAATAATAATAATAATAATAATAATAATAATAATAATAATAGTATTGTATTCTCCGTCCCAAAATTACTCCTCATTTTTCCCCAACCATTCTTCGTCCATCCATTGGCTCAATAATTTTTGAATCTTTTGTTCTTTTGGACATGGAATATCAACATTTCCTTCATCCATTGGCTCAATAATCTTTGGATCTTTTGTTCTTTTGGACATGAAATATCAACATTTTATGTGCAGAGATCCACGAGCCATTTTGGACATGGTAGGATATTTGGGGCTCACAGATTGCCACCGTGATGGCACTCTGAAATTTTTGCTCCAAGGCACGACAAGTTCTTCCAAGTAGCATTCAAGCTCTTGCCTAGGGATCGAGATTGACTATTAGATTGGATAAACTGGTTATACTCATCTCAACAATTAAAACCAACATTTAGGTGTATGCATCTTTCTTTGATGTATATTCTTATCTGGTTTTGCTAGTAACATAATCATCATAAGGCGAGTGAATGGACTTTGAAATGGTTGTCACTTCTGATATACTAGAACTAGTATCATACTTCAAGGAAGAAAATTCAATATACTTAATTTTATATTGAGGCTTCAAAACCGTAACAACGGTTAGTACAAGGAACATGTTCTTCCAGTACTTCTCAAACTTCTTTAGTGTCTTCCGAGCTATGATTCTAACAAATTTATCTGAATTTCTGGATTCTTCTATAAAACTTGCTTGTAATTCTTGAAATTTGTGAACATAGATGCCTGCACTATCATGTTTTGTCTCGAAAAGAACTTCAGCAACATCATATACATTTTGAACAAGTTTACAAATATCTCTAACTTTTATCCAATCTTCAGCAAATGGGATATCACGATCCATGCAATGATCCATTTCTAAATGCTGTCCTTTAGTGACACGACCCGTCCCGTCCCGAATCACCCTAGTGGACCCGAGATGAGACGTGCGCCAATGATAGATGCTGACTAGATGTCAAATCTATCACCAAGGCTAACATGAGTTACTTCAAAAAAATGCAACAAAATAAAATACTTATGTAAAATATAATGCGATGGACTCAAAATATTTACTTCATGTTTCATCAATATGAGTTATAATATTCAACATGCCGTATGGCTCTCATTCCGAAATCATTAGGCTCTTCCAGCTAAAAAGAATCAATTGCTACCTGTAGAAAAAATCGTGGAAAAATATATGAGTTGATAGTTCAGTGAGTGGAGAAGTTCGAAAATAATTATACTTTTTCAATTTTACATTTCTATCGAAAATCGAGTTCATATCATTTAATATTTCACAAGATAACATCATGTAATTATAACCAAAAGTGAAATATTCACATAAGGTCGTAAAATATCATCTCAAAATCATGATATAAATATCAGCTGATAACCACGCTATAATCTCATCACATCAAATATACTGAAAAATCCACCAAAAATGTACCCTCTAATTGAAATATGTAATCCGCCTCTCGGGTTAAGAACTTTCGCCACGGACCTTTGGCCCCCTCCATGAACGAAAGCTGGTTTCAAAGACATCTCATAATCAATTCTAGAACACGGCCAAGACCCTTCAGTGAACTATATGTACACGGTCGAGACCCCTTCATCCTCGGTTCAAGACCCCTCAGTGTAGTATAGAACACGGCCAAGACCTTTTAGTGAACTAGAAGAAATATATAATCACGGGTACTTTTCTGGTCGATCTCAAAATCATGTCTCATATTCCAATTCACAATGTACCGTATACAATCTTTAAAATCTCACATATATCATAATAAAAGATATTTTCATAATAAACATATAATTCGAGCACATAATTGCACATACTTTAACAATATACTTAATTTATAAATACTTTAAAAATATTTATATTTTTTCCTTTCACATATTTATGGATAGAAATCTGACTAAATTGACGAGTCTTTTCAAGTTTTCACGTCACTACCTGAATAACGGAATAATAATTACTCAAATTGAAACTTAACAATTAAATCAATACAATTCCACCACTTAACTCCTCAACTTCTATATTTACTCTTACATCTCCAATCCCCAACTTTTATTCTCTTTATTAATTCATCGACTAAACACCATGCATTATCAAATCTATTAAATTACCCACACTTCCTTAAAATCATTAACTTATACATATACAAGCCCTATACATAATTTATTCCAATACATAAACCTCAATACTTGTCATATAACTTCATTGAAGCCTTTAAAAATCTGAAAAATAAGAGTTTTGTCAAAAACAGCACTAAAATCCCAAAATATTGAAACCTGGCACCAATTTCTGCATATTAAAATCTGGCATCAAAACCATTGACAGAAATGGCACTTTTTTGGTCAGAATTTCATGAGTAGTACCTGCACATGAATTTTGCTCGAAAATTTATTATAAATACCAAAATCTAACCTAATTTTTTTTTTTTCCACTCTAATTCATCATAAATCAAGTGTAAACACAATAATTCAAAGATTGGAACTCTAATTTACAAACCCATTTCATATTTCCTTCCTTTAAACACTAATATTATTGTTGTTTTTAATGTCTCAAACATATATCAACAAACATCAATTTTGCTAAACCTTAAATTTTAGAAAATTTTCATAAACTCAAAAAGATAACTCATCCTACTTACACCCACCTCTCTAAATCAATGGAGAAAAGGAGAATCCAAACTTGAAGACCCACTTCTTCTTCTTCTTCTTCTTCTTCTTCTTCTTCGCTCTCTCTCTCTCTCTCTCCCCCCTTTTCCTTCTCTCTTTTCCTTCTCTCTTTCTCGGTTTTTCTTGCTTCTGCCCATCTCCAGCCTTACCTCTCTGTATGTATATATCATATGAAAATAGTAATGGGTTAATTACTTGCCACATGTACTCCACAACCCATTTTTGCATGGAAAGTCCTTATTCTTCAATTTAATATAACATCTAGTCCTTTACTTCTAATAATATATAAGTAGATCCCTAAAATTAAGTTTTATCCATTTTAAACCTTTAACTATTTTTCATAATAAATTAAATCCCAATAAAATAATTTATTTCATTTAAATCCCTATTTGACATTGACTTTGACCAATTGAATTTTGGACTTTGACTAAATAATTTTCTTGACTTTGACTATGAGTGAGTGAGTTATAACAATCTTACCCCCTTCAAAGAATTTCGTCCTCGAAATTCAATCAATTAGGATTCGAGCACAAAGATATAGAGCATATATTTGAATACTTGCCCCATGAAGCCTCTATTTTTTATTATTATTTTTTTTCCAAACAAACTTTAACTAGCGGAATAGACTTTCTGCACAAAATCTATTCATTTCCTATCCAAGATCCGAATTGATTTTTCTTCATATGTAAGATTTTCAACCAACTCCACTGATGATCTTATAGCATTAGTTAAATCTGACGTCCATTTACTAACCACCGAACATATGAAATACATGTTGAACCGATACCTTAAATATCATCCTAATATAAATATGTGATATTTTTAACTTTTCATTTTATCACCTAACGATAATAAATACATAGCTTTAAGTTCGGCTCCTTTTTAAATATAAATATTCCTTAAACTCATGTGGTCCGTAAGTATTGATCTTCCCACCATGTGATAACGCCACAATTCCTAAATGTCAATCCCAATATAATCAACCATATATCATGATTTAATCATATCTCTTTATCAATCTACAACATAATCCATATTTTATCATTCCACTTAGAAAACAATTTCTAAACCATAACATAAATCATTATCGTGAATCAATCGCTTATCATCTTTAGATATAAGAGCAAATATTTTTTCAATATTTCCTGATAGCAAAACTTTTGACATTTCTATACACATACAAATTTTGTTCTTTCTTTTTATAAAGAGACAATAATAACATTTGATCCATAAAAATCTATACTCTTATTTCATAAATAGATCGTTGATCTATCGTCAATGCATAATCTTTTTTGTATATCACATAAAGACCTTTAATTAAGATAATGTAACCAAAAGATACTAGTTCACAATGAGTAAAATCTATATTTGATGATCATCTTAAACTTTAGACATAGCTAACATGTCCTACTTATATTCCTTAACAAATTTATTTTGACAAAAATTGAATACTTTGTTCATGATCCAAAATACAATTAAAAATAGCCCAAAATTTACATACTAACATTTCAATAAATTCATCTTAACTTCAAAATTTAACTCAACGCTTCCAAATTGTATGAAATGTAACACAATAATCAACAAATGGCCTTAACAAAATTTGTTAACTTAAATAACCCAAATAAATCATCACATTACTTTGCTATAGGACAACCATTACATTCATTTTCATGCTATTCACCATATCATGTTATGATCTTGTAACCTTAGCATTTATCGTCATATTGTATGACCTAAAACATTTAATTATATAAATTTCCCTTAATATCACAAGATGATAACCTTCATATTTATCACTTGAACATTTCACATATCAATATATCGCATGTTAATTTCCCAATCTCAACAAACTTCAATTCTACCATTCTCAATTTCAATTTTTTTTTCACATAAACATACCTAAATGCACATATCCAATTAATTCTATTTTTAAATAAACAAATCACCCCCTAATAGGTAAACATTGTGAAGTTCATCTCTATTATTCTCACATTCCTTGTAATCAAACTACTCATAAATAATTGAAATTACCGTTAATTTCCTTGATGCTTAAAGTATACAATAACACATTGTTATCTATCAATCAACAAATTATCATTTTGTCTTCCACAATTCCTTATCATATAGCATAAATATACATCATCATGATTTCTATTATCATCCCATTAAAGTGGCCTTAAATCACCACAAAATTTGATAACACTAATAACCATTTGGCTTCAAGAATAATTAAAATTCCCCACTGATTGTCACTGATTACACATCATATCATTTCCTTGTATTTATCGTGCAAGCTATAGCTAAAAAATTTCCTATGTACTCATAAAAATAATCATGTAGCTCTACAAATAAATTGATAATTAAGTGGTTGTAATATCTGTAACTTCAAATGCCCTACAAAATCATCACAATATGTTCAAATCTTAATAGGTTACATACACACATAGTTTCAACCCAATAGCTAATATCATTTCCAACCATTAGATCATTACAACTACCATACTTACATACGAGTCGTTTCTAAATCAGTTAAAAAAATATTTTTCTATTATTTTTGGTTTCATACATTTGAGTTAGAGAGCTTATGATTTCTGTCACCACGACATGTGATCATACCCACTGAGCATGCATAAATCATAAAAATTTTCAAAACCATGCTTAGATACCACTCTGACACGACACGTCCCGAATCACCTTAGTGAACCCGAGACGAGACGAGACGTGCACCGAAGATAAATGTTGACTAGATGTCAAATCTATCACCAAGGCTGACTATGAGTTATTTCAAAAAAAATGCAACAAAATCAAATACTTATGTAAAACATAATGCGATGGGCCCAAAATATTTACTTCATGTTTCATCAATATGAGTTATAATATTCAACATACTGTGTGGCTCTCATTCCAAAATCATTAGGCTCTTCAGTTAAAAAGAATCAATTGCTACATATAGGAAAAATTGTGGGAAAATATATGAGTTGATAGTTCAGTGAATGAAGAAGTTCAAAAATAATTATACTTATTCAATTTTACATTTCTATCAAAAATCGAGTTCATATCATTTAATAATTCACAAGATAACATTATGTAATTATAACTAAAAGTGAAACATTCACATAACATTGTAAAATATCATCTCAAAATCATGATATAAATATCAGCTGATAACCACGCTATAATCTCAGCACATCAAGCATACTGAAAAATTCACTAAAAATGTACCCTCTGGCTGAAATATGTAATCCGCCCCTCGGTCTAAGAACTTTTACCACGAGCGTTTGACTCCCTCCATGAACGAAAGATGATCTCAAAGACCTCTCATAATCAATTCTAGAGCACGGTCAAGGCCCGTCAGTGAACTATATGTACATGTAGGGGTGATCGCGGTTCGATTTGAGTGGTTTGTGCTATATTTTCAACTCAAACCATTTTATGCAGTTTGAAATTTTTTCAAATCAAACCAAACCAAACCAAACCATAATTTGCGGTTTGGTTCGGTTTTAATCTGCGGTTTACTTTTCGACATTATAGTAATGTATTTAACGTAAGTTAAATATAAGTTTAAACAATAACTAATTATGTTAAATGCTAAATTACATTTATAATTACTATGAAACCCATGAATAAATTATTTTCAAAGTTGTTTTCTAAAAGATGTTAATAGAACAAATACATCTTTCTTCATTTTTATTTATCTTTTCTTATTTGACATTCGCATTGTCATATAACTATTGGTAAAGGTAGAGTTACATTTTGTTATTATAGTTTGGTTAAAATTCCTTTCGTCCTGCTAGTGAGATGTAAAATAAGAATTGAACGTGATATCTTTAGATGTACAAGGATTGATTGATTTTTGACTTATTGAAAATTGAGGAATTTTATCCTCTAACTATTTTATGAAAGTAGAAGGTAGTAACACTAGTTAGGGATCTTTAACATTTTCATATAATCAATACATTCCGTCTTTTGTTTTTTCCAAATCACAAACAAGTTCATTAATCAACTAGGCACACGAATAATCATTTTTCTATCCAAACCAGAACTCATAAATATATAATAAGTTCAAAAAAATAAAATAAAAGAAAGAACAATGGAAAAATGGATTGAATAAGAATCTAAGACGAGAAGAGAGAAAGAGACGACTCAGGAAGAGATTAGTAGACTAACAGAAACAGACAAATGCAATTAGTAATCGTTCAACAGTGGCAGAAAAGCATCAAATGTTAGAAAAATGAGAGTTTATGTTAGGGCTTCTAAAGTTTTGGGCGTGATTTACTTACGTAATTTTGTTGAATCATGATTTGGATTGTGAAAATATGTGTTTTTTCTTCATTTCATATGATTTTGAAATAATTTTAGTTTAGTTTAGATATCGGGTAAGACATTTGTTGTGAACCTGTTAAATCATAGGTCAATAATAATGAACATAATTTACTTTTTATGATTATTTCAATAAGTTGGTTATAATTTGTATTACTAAATTGATATTTAAAAAGAAATAGAAAAAACTGTAAAATTTTTAAGTTAATAAAATTAATGTTTTAATTAAAAAATTTAAAAACGGTTCCGTTCAGTTTGTGCGATTTTTGAAAATCAAAACCTAAATCAAACTATTTTGAAACGGTTTGGTTCGGTTTGACGAAAAAGAAACCATGGGTCCATGTGGACCCGAACCAATGGTTTCAACTCAACGGTTTCGGTTCGATTTGCGGTTTCATATTTTTTTTGTGCAACCCTATGTATACGGTCGAGACTCTTTCATCCCCGGTCCAAAACCCTTCAGTGTAGTATAGAACATGGCCAAGGCTCCTCAGTGAACTAGAAGAAATATATAATCACGGGTACTTTTTTGGTCGATTTCAAAATCATATCTGATATTCCAATTCACAATGTACCATATACAATCTTTAAAATATCACATGTATCGTAATAAAAGATATTTTCATAATAACCATATACTTCGAGAACATAATTGCACATACTTTAACAATATACTTAATTTATAAATACTTTAAAAATATTTATCTTTTTTCCATTCACAGATTTATGGATAGAAATCTAGCTAAATTGACAAGTCTTTTCAAGTTTTCACGTCACTACCTGAAATAACGGTATAATAATTACTCAAATTGAAACTTGACAATTAAATCAATACAATTCCACCACTTAACTCCTCAACTTCTATATTTACTCTTACATCTCTAATCCCCAACTTTTATTCTCTTTATTAATTCATCGACTAAACACCATGCATTATCAAATCTATTAAATTACCACACTTCCTTAAAATCATTAACTTATACATTTACAAGCCCTATACATAATTTATTCCAATACATAAACCTCAATACTTATCATATAACTTCATTGAAGCCTTTAAAAATCTGAAAAAAAAAAAGAGTTTTGTCAAAAACAGCACTAAAATCCCAAAAAATTGAAACCTGGCACCAATTTCTGCATATTAAAATCTGGCATCAAAACCATTGACAGAAATGGCACTTTTCTGGGCAGAATTTCATGAATAGCAACTGCACATGAATTTTGCTCGAAAATTTATTATAAATACCAAAATCTAACCTAAATATTTTTTCACCACTCTAATTCATCATAAATCAAGTGTAAACACAATAATTCAAAGATTGGAACTCTAATTTACAAACCCATTTCACATTTCCTTCCTTTCAACACTAATATTATTGTTGTTTTTAATGCCTCAAACATATATCAACAATCATTAATTTTGCTAAACCTTAAATTTTAGAAAATTTCCATAAACTCAAAAAGATAACTCATCCTACTTACACCCACCTCTCTAAATCAATGAAGAAATGGAGAATCCAAGCTTGAAGACCCACTTCCTTTTCTTCTCCTTTTCTCTCTCTCTCTCTCTCTCCCTTTCTTTTTCTCCTTTTCCTTCTCTTTCTTGGTTTTTCTTGCTTCTGCCCATCTCCAGCCTCATCTCTCCGTATGTATATATCATATGAAAATGGTAATGGGTTAATTACTTGCCACATGCACTCCACAACCCATTTTTGCATAGGAAGTCCTTATTCTTCAATTTAATATAACATCTAGTCCTTTACTTCCAATAATATATAAGTAGATCCCTAAAATTAAGTTTTATCCATTTTAAACCTTTAACTATTTTTCATAATAAATTAAACCCTAATAAAATAATTTATTTCATTTAAATCCCTATTTGAAATTGACTTTAACCAATTGAATTTTGGACTTTGACTAAATAATTTTCCTGACTTTGACTATAAGTGAATGGGTTATAACATTTAGCCTCCAAATCCAATGCCTCTTGCAGGTTGTATAATGGCATGTTCCACAATAATGACGAGTTTCTTCAGAAAAATATAGCGAACTTTTAAAATAATAGATTAAATATTCTAAAATGCCTATACCATATCCTAAAATTTCTTGCTCTTTTCTTCAATCTTGGATCTTTTGATCTTGGCATTTGTATCTTTAAATAGGACTTTAGGTATTTTTTTGTGTGCGGATGATAGTGATTGTATGAATAAATATATTAGTGAATAAAAGATAGGGTACTTATGTCATTTTACTAGTGATTTTTTAAAATAAATAAGAAAATTATAGGGTACCAAACATTTATTGTGATGATAATATAACCACCCTTAATAGTAATCTTACATTACACAAAATTCACCAGTATTACTCTCTTTTCCACCACTCATTTCAAAAGACCTTCCACTTCTTTTAACAAAATCAACCGTTTAACTTTCCCAAACATGCACTGAATGTCAATGTAAAAATGACTCGATTTTTTTAAAGTTAGATGGGCTGTTTATAGATCAATTTATCATGATCTACTTTAGTCCACTTTTTATTATAAAAAGCACATTTTAGTATAACAAACTAATCCTCACTCAACTCAATTAACAGGACTTATACTTTAACACCTGTTTGACAAGACTTTTACTTGTAAAAAGTTATCAATTTTAAAAGGCTCATCAAACCAGTCAAATCATTTTCTAAAAATTATCCAAAAACATCGATAATCTTATAAACAGCTTTGACTTTTTCAAAGTCCAACCAAACAAGCCATTAAACAACTCGACATTTGGGTTTCTTTGAGGGACTTAAAGAGTTCACAACATTTCAATATTATACCCTATATCAATGTTGAGAGAAGAGCCGTTAGAAGCAATGGACATGAAAAATTACCCTCTAAAAAGATTCTTACAATGCCCAGTCAACCAATAGCCAACACAAGGAAAAGACTCATCGATCCTTGGCTTAGAGACTAATTTAGCTGTACAATGAATAACCATATATGTAAAGGAAGTTAAATTTCGAGATCTATTGTCTTTTTCTTTATCTTGCCTGCCTTCCTATGGTCTGAGATCATCACTCCATACAAGATCATGCTAGATAGCAAATCATACTCTGGTGACCTAATCCGGCCAAATAGAATTCCAGATAGTGAATAAATAAAGTTGGCAGAGAAGTATAATAATGGTGTAGCACCTGCAAACACGATACCACATATAAGGTTTAATTTCCAAAGGCACTCGTAAGAAAATTCTGATAGCACGAGGTGTCTACTGCATCACTTCGACTTAGGTACAAGGGTTGGGTGCACAAAATTAAATTGAATACGACAACCACGACCACGAGTAAGGTTGTAGCACTAAGGTTCTTTAATTCATTTAAGAGAATTAATACATTTGCAAGTCATTATAATTTTTCATTTTCGTCAATATCAAATATGAATTGTTTGGATGAACCACGGTATTGACAAGTGACAATAAGGCCGAACATTTTAAAGGGAAAAAGAATTAATGATAACAGATGGATACAATATTGTAGCAGCATGAAATCATATATATTTAACAAAATATTATTTCTGATGGTATATATTAATGTGTTTAATTACATGGAACACTCATCCCCAGTGTATTTGGTATCCTTTGTATATTTTAAATCATCATAGCTGCACTGAAGGTTGAATGTTCAAAGAGCCACTCGAGATATCAAGAATACATCCCTTGCTGCTTCCAAAGAAACAGGTTCCTTACCATTTTCAACAAATGACTTTTGTACCTCAGCCATCTTAATAGTAGTTTAAACACAAATACGTATATATAAACACACATTCCTTGTTCTGTGTATATGTACTTCTGCATTTACATTAAACAGACCTATTAACTTTTCAAATTCCAATATGTGATGAGAATCAATTAGGCAATATTCAAGGATGATTTAAACTGATGCTATGCACTGATATAACTTCAAGGAACGATGTAAATCCTCTTTTCAAACTGCAAAACTCAGACATCACATCAACTCGATTACCAAGGCACTTAAGGGTAAATTCAGACAAACAACAACAGATCACAATGATCCATGTAAACAGAATAAGCAGAGATTTTCTTTCTTGAACACAAAGCTCAAGAATTTCATGCAATTTAGAAATTTTCCATTAAGTCTTGTGGTGAGATGTGTCTACTTTATTACTTATCGTAATACATAGTAAATATGCTAATTCTTACCTCGTAGACTAACGTAGAATTTGGTTGCATGAACTTTACTTTTGTGGATTTCCATCGCCACTTTTAAGGACCCATTCAAAACCTTGTGATAGACATAGTTCCTGTAAAACCTGCAGCACATAAGGGAATACATAACCTAAATTAGCAAGCAATTTATCACAAATAAGTCATTGAGGCTTCCATCGACGATAATAGGGAAGAGGACAAGAGGCTCAAAAGGTCAATTAATATTTATCTTGAAGTGCTGGAACATACCAAGAGTGACAGTGAAGAGGACATGACCAGAAAAATATATCCCCGTTCTTTTCCCAGTAACTAAGGTTCGGCATAGGAAGCTTATAAGAAACTATAAGACTGTGTGCTCAGGAAACCATGTGTATATATATTTTTCCCACAAGGAGGTCTGACTTGAGACATTCACACGAGAATCAGAAAATTAGCTCGGTGGTCACTAAGAGTATTCTAAATTATTGAGGGAATTTTAAGAGCATATGCATGGGGAAACTTCTAGGAGCAAGCATAATATATCTTTCCTCACATCACATATCACCAGCTCTCAAAAGTATATTCACTACACATTTCTCTGCTTTATAATTCCATTGCTTAGCTTCCTCTCATGAGAATAATGCTAGATTAAGTCCTTACTGCTCATTTAAAAGAAGTGAGTGACAAAGGTTGTGAAACGCTTAAGAATCTTTCATAGGAAGGAAAAACATTGGAAGCTGTCATGATAGGCAGGTAAGATAGATGCCAGATTAAGGGCAAGGCAAATAGGGCTACCTCCCTCTCAACCACACACCCCCACACAATGAGAGTGGAAATCTCCTATATCTCCTGTGACAATCTCCTCAGTTTCTCAATCTTGTTTGTGCTTTCGTAAGGCCTCAAAAATTAATCAAAACCTAATTAAAAAAATTTCAGGAATTAGTAAGTTCGCCTGAATGGTGTCAAGGAGAGAGCGTGTTTGATCTCAACACCTAATTACAATTTCGTCATAATTAATCTGTAAGCTTGACTCTGACCTTCTGATATCCAATCTGAGGTATATCCCTTTTAAGTTCCATCTTAGCAGCCTCGACTATGGGAACCTCTTTGAGTTTTGCTTTTGGTCCTTCAGCAATAAGAAGATCAATGACAACCTTCCTGGAAGAGAAAGAACCACAAATCAATAATGAACAATATAAAATGGTGATCCTTTCTTATAAAGAGAACTTAATAAAAGAAAAATATCAATGTTCTAGAACCAAAATAAATGAAGGCAGGTGTAACCTGAATGGATCATATTGTGGATGATCTGGAGTAATTTTGGAACATAGACACCATGAATATTAAATGCAAATCGACTAATGATTGCCTGAAGCTCATCAGCAAAAGCACAAATGCTGTTTGCTGCAGCAACTGTCTCTTTGGCAAATCCCCTCGAACGGGCGGACTCAGAATCTGCCAAGTCCCTCAAACGCTGGCAAATTTGTTGAAAACTGGCATACACAGCGCCAAGTAAAATTTTATCTATTGACAATCAAACTAAACTGCCACGGGATAACCATAACACTCTAAGCGTGAAGTTATGTTTCCTAGATTAAAGGGCACATTAGCTTAATTAAATTTTGATTAAATAAGAAAATTCAAACTAGTTTCTTTGCGTTTGCATTGAGAATATAAGTAATACAAAAGTAATAATAGCAAAAAATGTTTAAATATGGTCCATTGGCATTTTGTTAAACAGTGTCAATTGCTCCAGCCCAGTTAATGCAAAAATGTAATCATACTAGTGTCCTAAGTGCAAGCAGAGAACTAATTCACAAGACCACTCGTCTTCCTCATCTCTTCTACTTACTATACTGTGTCTCAATTTTTTTAATGAGCCAGGCCATGAATGTCAAGGTCACAGCAACACTTATTGCATGCAAAGAAAATTGTCAAATACTAATCAAATAAAATGCAATATAACTGTGACCTAGTGATTTAGAATACTTTTAATGCAGTGACGATAACTATCTTCAATAAAAAATATGACCACATATAACTACTATTTGAAACTAAAGGCTTGATGTAATAAAGTGATCTCACCTGCAAACCTTGATGCCTTTTAAAAGTTTCTGAAGGGCCTTCATTAAAGCTTCTCGAGTCTCTTTTGGCATTGGCGTCCTCAAGGATGCCTCATTTGGAGTTTTGAGAGCTAATTTACTGGAACTCATTGACGTGACCGGATTGTTCATGACATTAGACTTTGAAGAAGTCTTTGTACCAGGTCCGTTTCTTCCTCCAAACAGAAGATCATTTATCTTCTTTTCCAAGGATTCCCATTCTTCTTCTTATTTCTTTGCAACAATAGGATCGAGTTTTATGAATCTTCGATCAAGAAGATCTCTGAGTTGCCAATCACTGAAGGAGGGTGGGTCTCTCAACGCCAATACATTTAGGACATCTTTCATTGCTTTAGGAAGTTGAGGACGTTGAGGTCTTTGTCAGTCGTTAACCTAGTGGATTCTTTCTAAACAATAGAAGAACATAGTCCCTGGCTAAAACTTCAATTCCTGAATCTGTTCCATGTCCCAGCGAACTCTTTGGAACCCACAGTCCTTGGACTAATCGAGCATATTCCTGCAGGACTTCCAAAACTTCTTCAACAGACTCATCTAGAGCTAGGTGCTTTTAGAGCGTCAAATCCATGATTTGGAGAACCCTGTTCCATCAACTTCATACATCAATCGCGCAATCTGAAATTGCTGTTTAATCCATGTTATACATGTAGACCAGAAGGATAGAATACAGCTTTGAGATCAAAGTGAGTAGGAACAGACCTCAAGACGCCAAGTTTTGCACCGTTTTTCAATGGCAAAGTCTCCAAAAACCTGAGACATCACATACAAAATGAAGATTTTTTAAGTCATATACAGGTGTAAAGACAATTGCAAGTATCATGCAATGTTTTCCTAAGGAAAAGCAAAGGCACGTTAACAATTATCCATATTAGTCACTGTTATGGCAGTAGCAAATGATGAAAAGAAAAATTGAATTCACGAGGATACAAGTTCTGTTGGAAGAATTTTGTGAAAAGTGACGCCGAAATAAGTATAATGATGGTGACAAAGCCGAGGCAAGAGTTGGACTCTTTGTCCTTAAGTCGAATTTGCCCCGCAACGGTGCCTACGGATTTCGCCAATCGACTCCCAAGATACAACGGCTACACTTGTGTTTGTAGCACTCCAAAACACAAGTACAACGAACCCAATGTAGGCTTATGTACTCCACAGATGAAATGAAAGAAAATCAAAATAAATGAAATGATTTTGATTTTGGATAGAAGAAAGGATGAGAGACGTTTTTGCATATCAAACTGTGAGGAATAGGACACCCAAAGGGTCCTATTTATAGACCATGAAGGGGTGTGGACGAAATGGTTGAGACCAAACCATGCACCATTTCCAAACAATGCACCTTTATGAAAAGGTGTCTATTCACTAATGGTTGAGGTCTTTTTCGTAATTTCTCATTCATCCGATATTGGTTTTCGAAATGCCAAATATACCCTTCAATACATGCAGAGAAATCAAAATTCTCTTTCGGGGGCGTTGCCCCCGACCCCCCACGAGGGGCGCTGCCCCCTCGACCCTCGCGACCTGACCGGGCAGGTCGATCCCCGTTTGTGCGCCCCGAAGCGGCGAAGTGGCAAACAATTTTGCCTAAACGGATTGAGTCGAGCTTTTGAGTATTTGGCCGAATTCGATACGAACTTTAATCGATTTTCAATTCTCAATTTATTTAACCAATATCCAACAATCCCCCACATGAATGGAAATTCCTCGATATGCGCAACACAAAGCGAATGCAATGAAAATGAAATGCAGACTCTAACAAACGGAGTACACACGACAAGTCGTAGCATCAAGATAGGTAGCTTGTGGCCTTGAACCTTCTTTAGTTGAATACAATCGGATTTACTAGGCTAGTTGGTGAACACGATGTCTTGAACCATCCAGCCGTTCGTGTAAAACCAAACAACTGTACCAACACCATGACTCATCTAACCTATTCGGTTCTCAAGAAATGATGTGAAGCAATTAAATGAAAATGTCCATGAACGATGAGAAATACTACCATACAAGCTACAAAACTACCATCTAGTGATATTATCAGTGCCAAATTATGAATCTAAATGTCAATAATCTGTTGAGAGCAAAAGATAGACATGTGAAAACACTATTCATGAGAAACTGAATATAAAGTCAACTCAAGTACCCAGAGAACTTTCCAACTGTCTTCTCATCCATACATTCACAAACAGGTTTACTTTGGAATGCTTGTAAATATACCAATCAACGAAACATTCAAAAATGTAGCACGGAAATTTCTAGAAACAAGATGAAGAACAACAAATCGAATTTTCTAGTGCATCTGAAACAATTCAAAAGACATCTTTTGATTGAAAATGTGCCTCATTAGTGTACAAACAGTATTCATCACCAGTAGCGAGATACATTCTTGTAGGAACTTTAGATCTGAAGTTCTCATTAGAGTTGCCCGGACACAATCTATTCAGATAATCACGCCTTCAAATTGGAATAAAAGAAAACAAATGAATTATTACCAACACATAGATTCTAACACAGAAAATTCAAAGGAGCTTCCGTAATCTTTGTAGGAAATTGATGAAAATAGCAGGTATCGGCATCTTAATGCGTACGAGCTCATAGAAAAATTAATAGGCGAGCCTTCTTGTGCAGCCATCTTTTGTAGATATCTATCTGCAATGTCACTCCTTGCGTTATAGTATTACAAAGAAAGAGAAAACAGTAGGGGAAAAAATTAATTTTGCCTTCAATTCATGATTTTCCTCCCTTCTCACCCTAACAAATCTACAGCCATTACTGCAACAAATAATATAATAGTGCCACTTTGCAAAAAACCAAGTGATGATAAACATCACTGTTATTCTTTGACAGACAATAAAACTTTTAGTTACAAGATATTAAATGCTGAAAGGTCATCTCAGTATCTTATGAAAGTCGAGCCTCATTATTCCATGTAAAGGAATTAATTCCTCCATTTTTATTGAATTCAATTGTATATGTTTAGCAGTATATATATAAAGAAATTTTAAAATCAATCTTTGCAGCTATACAATTTTAACATAATGGCAGGATCGAATCTTCCTCATTTGTTACGTTCCTGATTTGTTGAGATTGCATCAAATCTACTGCTGTGATTAAGCTCCTGATCTGCTGGTGTTTCATCAAATTTGCTGCCGTGATTAGGCTCCTGATTTGCTACTATAATTTCACCAAATATGTTGCTGTAATTTCAGTTCTGATCTTCAGCCTTGAATTCAGTTTTGCTGACTTCATTCTCTACATGCCCCCTCAATCTGGAGGGTAGTTCACGGACATGGAGATTGTCTAGTACATACTTGAACTTTAATGGAGGTAACGACTTTGTAAGCACATCTGCCAACTGATCTCGGCTTGAAATAAATTGAACCGTCAATTGGTTATTGAAAACTTGATCTCGTACGAAGTGAAAATAAATTTCTATGTGCTTCGTTCTTGCATGAAAGTCCGAATTTGAGGTGAGGTAAGTGGCTCCAATATTATCACACCAAAGAACTGGTGGCTGTGTTTGAGAAAGACCAAGTTCAAAGAGAAGAGATTTTATCCAAGTGAGCTCGAATGCTGTGTTTGCTAGTGTCTTGTATTCAGCCTCGATACTGCTTCTTGCAACTGTGGGCTGCTGCTTACAGCTCCAAGATATTAAATTGGGGCCAATATAGACACAGAAAGCACCAACCGAGCGTCGATCATCTCTATCAGCAGCCCAATCAGAATTTAAGTAAGCTTGCAACCTCATATCAGGAGCTTTGGTGATGTAGAGACCAGTGGATACCGAGTGTTTAAGATAGCACAATGTGCGCTTGACTGCCATCCAATGTGTATTAAGAGGTCGATGCATAAATTTGTTGACTTTATGTACTGTGAAGGCTAAGTCAGGCCTTGTGAATGATAGATATTGTATGCTTCCTACGATGCTTCGGTAGAGACTTATATCTTCAAAAGGATGTCTATCGGTGGAAGTCAGATGACAATTAGGGGCCATTGGACTCGTGCAAGGTTTTGCTTTGTCCATGTTGCTCCTTTTGAGTAAATCAACAATATACTTGCGTTGAGTGAGGTAAATTCCATCTGAACACCGAAGTGCCTCGACACCAAGAAAGAAATTTAGTGCATCCAAGTCTTTGACAGCAAAAGTATTTTTCAAGCATTTAATCACGTAAGTGATTGCATCTAAATTTGACCCCGTTATCAAAATATCATCCACATATACGAGTATGTAAGTAATAATAGCTAATTTTCGAAAAATAAAAAGAGAAGTATCAGCTTTACTTTCTTGAAAGCCCAAAGATTTGAGTTTGTCAGAGAGCTTTGAGAACCATGCTCTTGGGGCTTGCCGCAATCCATAGAGCGACTTGTGTGATTTACAC